GCCTGGTGCTCAGCATATGTTTACTGGCTGACGGACCATGGAGTAAGATCAAATACAGAGTTAGTATGGATAGAACACAAGCTATCAAACTTTACAGTGGCTCCCATCTCAGAGTAAAACCAGAGTCCTGTTGATGACCTGCAAGGCCCTGTATCTCCAGCCACCCCTACTCTCACCTCCATCCTCTGTGACTCTCTCCTGCTCACCAGCTCCAGCCATACTGGCCTCCCAAATGCTCACTGACCGCAAGGCCTTTGCCCATGCTGTTCCTCTGCCTGGATGCTTTTCCCACTGATATCCACATGTCCTCTCTTCCTTCAGGTCTACAGTCAAATGACACCTTATCAGCCACCTTCCGTGACCATGCACTCCATGCCTCCCTCTTTCCCTTCTCTGCTCTAATTAGCTCTTGTTATAGATTCACCTGTAATTTGTGTATTTCGTCTCCCCTCCCCCCTAAAGAAGGTAGGCCCCAAAAGGGCAAGCATTTAATTAGTTTCATGCTGGTAGAGAGCTGGGCAGGGGGTGTGCTTAGCCAGCAGGTCTTGACTAAATGACCTAATGAACCAGGGGAAGATGCTTCATTAGTTCGTTATTCAGGGGAAAGGAATGAGTTGCTTTGATCTGGCATCATGTGACAATTCAGGCTTGTCATCATCAGCCTTGAGAGAGTGGCAAGGGCACCACATTCCCCTTTCTTCATAGTGACATGGCATATTGCAATTTTGACCAATTAGAACGATTCTTCTACTTAACCCAAGGCTTAATTTGGACCCAATAACCTCCTCCCTTCTCATTTCTAATGTGTAGGGAGGAGCAGAGCTCACTTTCTTGGGTGCTGCTGGGGTAGGATGAGCTGGGCTCTCCAAAGGGGCTGCTCCACCAGCCACTGGCTTTTGGGGTTTTTTTTGGTGAGGAAGATTGGCCCTAAGGTAACATCTGCTGCCAATCTTCTTCTTTCTGCTTGAGGAAGATTGGCCCTGAGCTAACATTTGTGCCACTCTTCCTCTATTTTGTATGTGGGATGCCGCCTCAGCATGGCTTGATGAGCGGTGGGTAGGTCCATGCCCAGGATCCAGGCCCACGAACCCTGAACCGCCTAAGCAGAGTGTGCGAACTTAACCACTAACCACCAGGCCGGCCTCTGGCTTTTGTTTTTCAGTGGAGTCTACCAGCTGAGGCTGGAGCTGAATTGCTTGGGAGAAACAAAGAGACCGTAACTATGAGCCTACAGGTTGGCGGAAAGGATCAGTGACCGCACAGAGCAGGTGGACAAAGCCTCGGAGTGGGATTTTAAGGCAGGCGCCTGGATTCTCACAGTGGGCTTCAGGAGTGTGCTGTGTGGTGCTCGAGGCAAACCCTCTTCCTGGTCTCCCATGGCCTCTTCAGTAAAATATTCCTTTTTCTTGGTGGAGTTGAATCTATTTTTCAGAAAGTGTTAAAGTTCAAGGAGGGTGTGGCGCTCCAGTCAAGACTGCCCTTGGGAGGCTGGCCTCTCCCAGGACTCATGTTCTTCTGAAGGATTGGGGGAAAGTGCCAGAGATGGTGTGGTGTGGGGATGTGTGTGTCTCCCTAAAATAAGGATACCTTCTTCTCTCCGAAGGGGCCCACAGAAATGAGAGAAAATTAAAACTTTGTGTGGCTAGGTACCCAAACCTCTCACCTTCCCTTCCCTTGCCTCATTACTTGCACAAACCCCGTGGCTATACTTACACATCCACCCTTAGGCCTCCGGTGTCTCTCCATGCCCCATTTCCTCTGCATTTGTTTCTGGCCATCCTTGTCCAGAGAAGGGGCACCAGCAGCCTGCTTCTTTGTTCGTGCACCTCTGCTGTTAGCCAGGCTTCACTTGAAGGACAGGACTGGGTAGGGATGGGGGGACTGAGTAGCTTCCTAGCCCAGTCACTGCAGTGCACACTCACAATGAAGCAGGAGGGAGAGGGGTGCTTTCCCATGATGACCACCCCAACCCCCCAGGCCCCTTCCACCATCTTCAACGGCTCTTTTAAGATGGTGTTTTCAAACTTCAGGTCATGAACCAACAGTGAGTTGAGAGGGTCACGACCAGCATTAAAAAAATAAGTAGAATGGAATAGAAACTATCAGAGTACATCACATGTTTGAGATTAAGTATTGTTACATACGTGTGTATACACACGTTATACACAACTGGGTTGTGATGTAAAATGTATTCAAAAAGTTTGGAAGCCACTTGTCTGAACAATTAGTGTAACTGTTTTAGATTTTGCCATGTGTTGAGGTCCCTCCTGAGTGATATTTAATATGTTTTAGTGGGAGAAGTTGCCAGCAGATTTCAGCCCAAGTTAGACTTGTGGAGGCTGATGGTCTTTGTGTGGGGAGGTGTCACTTGAGGGCCTGATCCTTATACTCAGGGAGAGGCCTGATGAAACCCCTTTCATAGGCCTGTAGCCCCTAACAGTGTACAATGAATACTTCTTCCTCCTCTCTGGAAAACAAACAGATTGGCTTCTGAGCCTTTGGATTTATATGATTCACTCTAATATCTGTGCACTTCTCCCATAAATGCAGCAAACGGAACATGTAATGCTACATAAATTCCTATGAGAAATTTCTTTGTCCAGAAATGGTGTCAGCTTGTTGTTCCACGTTGCCATAGAGAACAGAAAGCGCTGCCTTTGAAATTCAGCGAGGAGAGCTGTGATTGGCTCTCCTTGCTGCCCATCACTGCTGCCCAGCGGCTGTAACTGCAGAGGACAGAAGGCCCGCCCTCGAAGCAGTTGCCCGGTTTGGGGCAAACTTCTTTGTGCGTTCTCCTCCCATCCTCCAAAGCAGGGGATCCAGAACCGCTCAGACAGTTGGAGAAGAAAAAGGAGGAGGAGGAGGAAGAGGGAGGAGAGGAGAAGGAGCAGGCCTCGCCAGCAGAGGGCTCAGCTGCGGGTTGTACCTGACTGGTGCTTGATACTGCTTTGGTAGAGAATAAAAGGAGTTGTAGAAAACCCCTCTGACGGTCTCTGAAACTTCTACCTTGTTGCTTATTTTAAAAGAACCAAAAATAGTCCGGCGTAGAGAATTTCTAGTAAAGTCTGATTTTGGCAAAAACTTAAAAAGATCCTTTGCAATATAGCGTGAGATAGTAGGCGGGAATGGACACCTGGCTGGCAGTGTACCAGGACTGTGGCCTGAGCAGGCCTGGGGAACTGGGGTATGGGACGAAGTCGGGACCCTGATCCTTTGAAGTCAATGTCATTACAACTTCTGACAGGCAGGAAAGGACAATCAAGTCTCTAGAGGGGAACCCACCATGACGGAGTGAGGAGCCCATCTGGAGACCTAGGTTCAACTCAGAGCCCAGGGGTCTGTGTGCGAGGGCTGGCTGAGGCTGGCCTGTCACCCTGACATGGTTGCTTGGGGAACAGCAGCCATCTCGGGTTCTCTGGTCTGAGCTCCTAAGAGCTGTGCCCTTTTAGTGGCCCAAGTGGGGGCGCCACTGTGGCCTGGCTGAGTCTAGGTAGCAATGCCACGCTGCTGTGGCTGGAGAATAAGCACCTGTTGCACTGATGGAGCCAGAGCCATGGCTCTAGCAGTCTGGTCAGACTGTCCAGGGTTCTGGAATGTTCCACAGGGGAAGCTGCAGGAGAGATGCTGGACTTCCTGCCTCTACTCACATGAGTCATTGGAGAAATACAAGAAGACTGGCTTAAGCTGGTCACACTAGTCTCAACTCTCGTCTAGGGATCTTTATAAGCCTTCTTGAGAAAAATGAAAAGTCTATTCTGTCTCCTCAGTGTTGACTTGTCCACTTGAGTAGAGATGATCATGCTCCTCGGTTGGCCCGGAATCTCCCAGAGACAGGCCCAGCCAGGCTGGGTGCAGTCTTAGAAGACTTGGGGAATCACTGAGGACTTGGGGGGCAGAGGGCCAAGGCAAGGGGCAATGACTGCCCCTGGCTCTGGAGGCTATACATGCCCCAGAAGACTTGAGGTCGAGGGAGGAGAGGGGTGCACGGGGCGGCAGAATCTCTGCCCTGGGACCCTTAGGTCAGCTGAGAACTCTGGGAGCTTATGGCAAAGTGGCCACCCTGTTCACACTTGACCAGGACACAACTTCCTGGCTGTGGGAGGAGCCCAGGAAGGAAGGAAAGGAAACTCCAACCAAACAAATGTTTAGACATCCCCCTCTCAATATAAAAGAGCAGTGGCCCAGATGGCTTGAGTCACCTTTGGCCTCACCCACTACTTGTGTGTATGAGAGGGAATGTGTGTAGGAGCAAGTGTGAGTGTGTGTGTATATATGTACATGTGGGTCAGGGAGCATGAGTGTTGGCAAGTGTGTGCACGTGTGCATGTGTGAGAGCATGTGAACATGTCTGTGACCAAGTATGTCTGAGAGTGTGAGAGTGTCTTGTGAGCATGTGTCTGAGTGAGTGTGGAAGTTATGTTGGATGTGTATGTCGGTGAGCCTATGTCTGAGAGTGTGAGAGACCTGAGAATGTATGTTGAATGTGCCTGTGACTCAGTGTAGGTGATTGTGTGTCTATGAGTGCAGTGTAGGTGTGATTGTGAGTGTGAGTGAGAGTGAGGGTGGCTGCCCCGATGAACCGGGTGACGCCATCGCTCCCGACCGCGAGGAAACCTGCACCTTTCGGGCCCCCACGCGGCTTGCGTGGCTTTTTGACCCGGAAAGGAGGGGGCCGCGCGGCGGCCGGTGTCGGGGACCGCGGCGGGGGCTGCGAGGAGCGAGTGGGGCGGGCGGGCGGCGCGCGGCGGCCGGGGAGGGCGCGAGGGCACCGGAGGCCGCCCCCGCCCGCCCGCGGCGCCGTTGCTAAGGCCGGCCGGCGGGCGCGGAGCGGGAGGGCCTTAGCAACGGGCCTCGGGCGCGCGCGGGCCGGGCGGGGGCGCGCGGGGGCCGCGGGCGCGTGGGGCCGGCCGCTCTCGCCGGCTCCTGCCGCTCCCACGCGCGCGGGCGGCGGGGGCGGGGCGGGCGCGCGCCGGGGCGCGCTCCGGCGGCCGGCGGGGATTTCCAGCGCGCGAGAGGAAGTGCCTGCGAGAGGGTGCGTGAGGGCGCGAGAGAGCGCAGCGCGGCGCGGCCGCCGCGTGCGCGAGCCGGGGTTGCAGCCCAGCAGGGACTTTCCAGCCGGCGGCGGCGGCGGCCGCCGGCCCTTCCCCGCCCCCCGACATGGGGCTGCCCGGGGAGCAGGACGCTGCGGACCGCGGCGGAGGACGCGTCCGGCGCCCCTGAGCCGGCCGAGCGGCGGCAGACCGCGGGGTAAGGGGCCGCGGCGGGCGGCGGGCAGGGGCCGCGGGCGGGGGGTGGCGGGCGGCTCCATCCTCGGCGGCTCCATCCCGCGCAGTCGGCGGCGGGCGGGCCCTGGGCTGGCCGGCGCGGGGCAGGAGCGACGCAGGCCCAGCGCCCGGCGGCGAGTGCCCGGTGCGGCGCCGCCTCCCCCCGCCCCAGCCCGGGCCCGCCCGCCCCCCGGACGCCTCAACTTCGGAAAACTTTGTCCTCGAGGCCGGGCCCCGGGCCCGTGGGGCCGGGGTTCCCGCAGCTTTTCAGGAAACGGGGAGCCAAGGCCTCTTTAAAACGTGACCCCCCCACGGGGTGGCGAGAAATCAGCATCTCCTGGAAGGCTGTGGATTTTTACGGGGTGAGAAACGCACTGATTCAGGGTGCCTACAGAGACGAACGTGCTCACCCTGCGCTGGCTTAGGCTTTTTTTTTTTTTAAGCCATTATTTAAAAGTTTATACTGAGTCATTCCTCTGCAGATGAACCTCTGACTGATTCATAATCGGAGAGCTGCAGTGGCCTCGAAGGCAGGAGGGTATTGGGATCCAGTTTTGGACATAATGCACACATTCCACCTTTGATTAATACGAAAGGCCAGAATGGGCTCCCCGAGGTGCAAAAATTGAAATGATCCGTGCCACGGTATTTAAAATTTAATCTTGAGGCGCCAGGCTGTTGCTCATGTACGCTTTGCCACGTTTTCACACTGTCACCCCATTTGGGGACGTGTATTTAATATTTAGGCCTTTAGGGAGAATTGTGTGTGGAAAATTCTTTACCATTAACTTGAAAACAGCAACAAAATGGAAATGGATGAAGTGTTGTGGACGTGCTTTGAAATTTAAGAAGCCTTCAAATAATGGTCCGTTGAAGGAAACAGTTTTTTTCCATGTTTTTCATATTAAGCTCTGAATCCGTTTTCAGAATGAGGTAGATGTGTGTGTGTATATTATTTATTCATTTATTTTTGAGGAGTCATAAAGGCTGTATTGAGTAGTGTTGTTGCCGCTTCTTAATTTACATTCACAGCATACAACTGAGGAGGAGCCATAATTTTTTTTTTTCCTAGCATTTGCTGTGGATGCACGCTGGTGAAGCTTTTGGAAATGTTCCCTGTAATCTTATATATGTTTATAAAATCCATATCTAAAGAAATGACCGGGTGGACCGTCACTTGGTGCTAAAATCTTTTTATATGTCTTTCACATCTTTGAAAATGGCCTGTTAAAAAGACTGCATCGTGTGTAGGCTGTCTGGCAAAGTAGTGTGTAGCCATTCGTTTTTCAAATGAAAGGAAATATTTGCCTTTTCACTGTTGTGACTATATATATGTATTGAGAATTAGTCTACTGATGAAAAATTCTTTGGCCAATACAAAATAAGCGTTATTAGTGTGAAAACTGGAAAATATCGCATGAGGTTGGAAATCCTTGTGAGTAGGTGCTCGTGACAGAAACCCTGACAGACCTGGGATTCCAGCATCGCTGGCTAAAATCATACCTTATCACGGAGGAGGTTTAAGATGTAAGGTGTCTCACCCAGACGCCATCTGTTCCAGCTGTCACAATGCAGAAGCCAGGAAAGCAGAGAGAGCTAGTAGAGAGAATTCCAGCATTTTTTTTTTTTGAGACATTCATGTGAATTTTTCTGTGAGGGGGAAAAAGATCAATTATTTTCCTTGGATGCTATCCATTCATTTTGGAATTAATAAGATGGCCTCACTCAGAAGGCTGTAAAGGCATGCCACTGGAAACAGGCAATAGTGGTGGCCAGTTGTTTCTGTTAATACTATCAAAATATTTCTACTCTTGTTTATGATGGGAAGAAAGTCCTTCATTCATCTGAAACATCTGAGCTGCTTCTTTCTGTTTTCCCCCATGCTTTGGATTTTAATTCTGTAAACACCTCTGTTAGAATCCCTTTAATTTTTCACTGTGCAAAGCAAGAAGGTTCTTTCTAGGGTATTGTCAGGATAGATATGCTGGTGACCTGATGGATGAGAATGATTGATCACTCTCTTAAAGTCCTCTTTTGTGATGTGAAAGCTGTACTTCAAGAAGGATAAAACTGTCACAGTGGTGTTGCAAGTCTGGGCTAGCTCAAGCAAACAAAGGAAATTGCGTTAAATTTGCCCGTCTCTGTTTTCTGCTCTTCCTATAGCAAGAGTCTCCAAACAGCAAGTGATCTAACCTATCAAATATTACGCAATAGCTGAGTTTCCTTGCAATGGTCAGTTTAAGAACTATTAAGTTAGCAGAGGAGACGTCTTATGACCAAGGCCCTCTGTCGATTCCATGGTATCAGGACCCCTTCTGTGCTTCTTTACAAGTGTTCATGGAGGAAGAAAAATTATTTGGGTTTTTTTTGTGTGGAGGGGAGGAGAGTCATAATATTGACTTCAGATGCAGAGAGAAACTGGGAAGAGAGCTACAGAGTGAGAAAGGAGGAGGTGAGGCCAGTGGATTTGGAAGGCGACCAGAGAGAGGCAGTCGAGGCCTAAGTGTAGAGGTGATGCTTAGACTTGTTCTGAGCGGGAGGAATGAAGCCAGGGTGAGAGTGCCAGATGCCTTCGGGCAGGAGGGCAGTAGAGACAGGTGAAAGGGGTGAGGTGCAGCTTGTAGCATAGCAGTAGACTTTGGGTCGGAAGGAAGTAATGGAAATAGAAGAAAATGCAGTTTTAAACAGAAAAGGAAAAAATGTAAGAAAACATTATGTGTGCTTGTGTAGCACCTTTTTTTCATAATTAGCTAAAGAATACAAAATGGCCTTTTCGTTTTAGCAAGCCATTATTGGCTGTCTCTGTTGTGTGTAATATTCTAGACGTGGTGCAGGGTAGAGAACTGACCTGCTTAGGTTGGAGAAGGTAAAGTTTTTATCATTAAGCATTAAAAGCTTTTTTTGGCCAAAATTTTTTGTCTCCCTGTGCAGACACCTTGAAGTGAGACTGGTGGGTTGTGAGATGTCATAAATACAGGTGACTGTTGGTTTCTGTCAACTCCAGAAATTAGGTTGCAATCTCTTGCTGAATTCTATGTTTCTCAAGATAAGTGGATCATTAACTGAGACTTGGGAGTCTTTTTCTCATTTAATTTAATATTCAATTAATGTACCTTGAGTTCCCATAATGTTCTAGTTACAGTGCTAGGAAGAATGAGATACAGAACCTGCCTTCTGCATGGTCTGCAGAAGTCTGGGGCATCTTGGCCGTATGCACGGTGAGGAGATGCCAGAAACCAAGGGGTATTTGAGACAGCACCAGGACTGAAGCTTGTGGCAGAAAGGGTGAGGAAAAATGAAAATTCACTACCCTGTCCTCAGGGAGCTGGCTGCTCAGCTAGAGAGTGAAGACCCACCAGGAAGAATTTAGGAAGTCATAAAATGTAGGCTAAAGTGAATTAGTGATTTGTATAGAAGACTGGAAGTATGGTGGAAATTCAGAAACGGGAAAGCTCTTGGCTGTGGGGTAGTCCGAAAAGCCTTCCAGGAAGTGGGCGTTGAGCCTCAGTGTCAGGAATGCAGGTACAGTGGAGCCATCTGGGGCCTCTTGCACGGCCTGAAGGATGGCAGTAGAGGATTTCTCCCCTCCCTCCTGTTTTGGCAAGATGGGACCTGACATTTTGGTATCCTGTTGCTTCTTGCCAATAGATACAGTGCTGGTGATGCTGCTGGTCAGTGGGTTTCCAGTTATGCTGTTTTCTGTGCTGTCCTGTAGCTCTTCCTGGGCCCTTTGTGACCAGGAGCTCAAGTGGGTCAGGCCGTCTGCCACTGTGAAGGGCCCAGTCTGTGATGGGAAACAGAGCAGGGGGCCCCAACCTGGGCAGCAGCTCATTGCTGTCCCTATTGTTTCTCATTGTGGGTAAGAAAGTCTCAAAAAATGGCGGTAAGGGAAGGGGTGTAAATGTTAAAAAACTTCTTCCTCTGGGATTCCCCCCAAACCTGCTCTATCATCCGTGCTGAAATGACCTAAGTCTCTATAATTCTGAAGAAATAAAAAATTTGGCCCTATAATTTCATGATTTACTTTTTCTAAGTTTCCCTCTATGCCGATTTTGACTCCATATATTTTTTTTAAATGAAGGTTATTTGATAACTTCTCATGAGCCCATTCTACCAAGAAAGATATCAGGGCTGCCGTTCTGATAGTCTCATTTCCTTTCCAATTTAAACACTGATTCTATGGGAAAACCCAAAATCACATTTATTGGAACTTGGTTTCTTTAAGTGGAGGGAAAAGCTTAATTGGTTAACCAAGTGGGATAGTATAATCTGTAGGACAACAGTAGCATCAAAGTGGTAATACATGAGTTTCCAGGAGTCATGACGATTGTAGTGAAGGTTTTCAGAGACTGAGTTTGTACTCAGGAGGGTTAATGATGCCCAGTAGGAGGTCTGTATACACTTGAGGTAATGAGGTACGGGTTAGGCCTGCCGTTCTTCCCCCAAGGGCCAGGAGCATGGTAGACCCTTGCACAGTGTTTGTGTCCAGGACCTGCAAGTTGCGGGGAGACGAGGGATGTGGCATGTGCCCACATGGTGGTTCCATGTGGTTTGGTGTATGTGTCTACAGTTGGGCATGCATTGTAACTGCCTCCCTTGACTGTGCTCCCCAAACCCCCACCACCCCCGCCTTCTGATAGCACTTAAACTCCCTGGTTTGTTGCATTAGGTGGCTTTTGTGATGGGAGATTTCGTTTGACATTGTAGCTTTCTTGGGTGCTTTTAATGACTTAAAAAGGAAGAATGGGAAACCAGTTCCCTTGAGTCCTTCCCTGACCAGTAATGTCCAGAAATCGCAACTTTATTCTAGAAATTAAATTTTCTTCTTTTTTGGATTAACATAGCCTGATGTTTGAAACGTTGTTATAGGGTAAATTGACTGTTCTGGTTTCAGAAGGCTTTTCTGTGTGAGAAAGGGCGTGGCATGGCTTTAGTACAGTATGTTTCAAACCCTTAATAGGAGTCCAAGCCCATGAGGTTTTC